CGAGGGGTCCCTTCCGGAGGTGCTGGGAGCGCTGGACCGGCTCCGCTACCCCAAGGACAGGATCTCACTATGGTGAGGAGAGGTCGGGAGATAAGGCTCTGTGGGCGGCCAGGAGAGTTCACCTGTGTCCAGGGTCAGAGGTGACATTTCTGGTCAGTGGGTGTCGCCTGTGGTCAGGCGGGGGAGGATGGGGGGGGTCTTCGGTGTCAGGTGGGGGAGGATGGGGGGGGTCTTCGGTGTCAGGTGGGGGAGGATGGGGGGGGTCTTCGGTGTCAGGTGGGGGAGGATGGGGGGGGTCTTCGGTGTCAGGTGGGGGAGGATGGGGGGGGTCTTCGGTGTCAGGTGGGGGAGGATGGGGGGGGTCTTCGGTGTCAGGTGGGGGAGGATGGGGGGGGTCTTCGGTGTCAGGTGGGGGAGGATGGGGGGGGTCTTCGGTGTCAGGTGGGGGAGGATGGGGGGGGTCTTCGGTGTCAGGTGGGGGAGGATGGGGGGGGTCTTCGGTGTCAGGTGGGGGAGGATGGGGGGGGTCTTCGGTGTCAGGTGGGGGAGGATGGGGGGGGTCTTCGGTGTCAGGTGGGGGAGGATGGGGGGGGTCTTCGGTGTCAGGTGGGGGAGGATGGGGGGGGTCTTCGGTGTCAGGTGGGGGAGGATGGGGGGGGTCTTCGGTGTCAGGTGGGGGAGGATGGGGGGGGTCTTCGGTGTCAGGTGGGGGAGGATGGGGGGGGTCTTCGGTGTCAGGTGGGGGAGGATGGGGGGGGTCTTCGGTGTCAGGTGGGGGAGGATGGGGGGGGTCTTCGGTGTCAGGTGGGGGAGGATGGGGGGGGTCTTCGGTGTCAGGTGGGGGAGGATGGGGGGGGTCTTCGGTGTCAGGTGGGGGAGGATGGGGGGGGTCTTCGGTGTCAGGTGGGGGAGGATGGGGGGGGTCTTCGGTGTCAGGTGGGGGAGGATGGGGGGGGTCTTCGGTGTCAGGTGGGGGAGGATGGGGGGGGTCTTCGGTGTCAGGTGGGGGAGGATGGGGGGGGTCTTCGGTGTCAGGTGGGGGAGGATGGGGGGGGTCTTCGGTGTCAGGTGGGGGAGGATGGGGGGGGTCTTCGGTGTCAGGTGGGGGAGGATGGGGGGGGTCTTCGGTGTCAGGTGGGGGAGGATGGGGGGGGTCTTCGGTGTCAGGTGGGGGAGGATGGGGGGGGTCTTCGGTGTCAGGTGGGGGAGGATGGGGGGGGTCTTCGGTGTCAGGTGGGGGAGGATGGGGGGGGTCTTCGGTGTCAGGTGGGGGAGGATGGGGGGGGTCTTCGGTGTCAGGTGGGGGAGGATGGGGGGGGTCTTCGGTGTCAGGTGGGGGAGGATGGGGGGGGTCTTCGGTGTCAGGTGGGGGAGGATGGGGGGGGTCTTCGGTGTCAGGTGGGGGAGGATGGGGGTCGTAGGTGTCGCGTGCAATCAGGTGGGGGTCGCAGGTGTCGCGTGTGGTCAAGTGGGGGGAGGTTGAGGGTCATAGGAGGATCTCTGTGGTCAGGAAGGGGTGGGGGGTGTCGTAGGTGTCACGCGTGGTGGTGGGTCATGAGTTTTATATGTGGTCAGGTGCGGGTATGGGGTCCTAGATATCATGTGTGTTCAGGGGGTCGGGGTCCTAGGTGTCACGCGTGGTGGGTCGTGGGTTTAGGTCTAGGTGTCCCGTGTGGTCAGGTGGAGGGATGGGGTCCTAGGTGTCACGTGTGGTCAGGTGGAGGGATGGGGTCCTAGGTGTCACGTGTGGTCAGGTGGAGGGATGGGGTCCTAGGTGTCAGGTGGAGGGACGGGGTCCTAGGTGTCACGTGTGGTCAGGTGGAGGGATGGGGTCTTAGGTGTCACGTGTGGTCAGGAAGGGTTTGGTCGCCCTTCGGTCGGCTGTACCACTGATGTGATCGGGGAGATTGGCCCATACGAGCTCCTAGAGGGCCCCGGCAGGGACAGTTCTGAGGGGCCCACCCATAACGGGGGTCCTTCCACCACATACATTGTAGCTGGACGTGTTTCAGATGTTTGTCTCTCTTCTGATTGGTCCGCAGGGTGGCCACCGACCACAACTTCGACAACACGAGCAGCATGCTGCGAGAATGGCTGATCAACGTCCAGAGCCAGTACCACCACGTGGAGTGGAGGCCTCAGGACCACCCCAGGTACGACCACAGCCAACTGCCCGGCTAGCTCAGTCGGTAGAGCATGAGACTCTTAGGCCCCGTTCACATATAGCGAATTGTCGCGCGATTTCCGCCGCGATATCGCGAGAAGTCGCCGGCCGATGTTATTCAATGGAGCTGTCTTAACTCCATGTCGCTCGTCGCGGTCGCAAGTCGCTTCTACCGGACCCTTTTTTCGGCGGATTTTGCGCGATTTTACTTTTTTCCTATGGAGCCCGACGGGGAAGGTCGCGCTACCGTCGCTGGAACGTCGCCCCGAAAGTCGCGCTATCCCGGCCGTGCGGATCCGCTGCAAAAGGTATGTCGCTATATGTGAACGGGGCCTAAATCTCAGGGTCGTGGCTTCGAGCCCCACGTTGGGCGAGTAGCTTTTTTTAAATTTTTAATTATTATATTTTATTATATGACAAGTTGATAAAAGACAAAGATGAGAGCAGAGTCCGGATCACTTATTCCGTTCATTGGCAATCGAAGTAAATCAGGACTTCCCACGTGTGTGACTCTGTCATGCTGAGCCGAAGGATTCAATCATTCCCTAGTCAGTGACTTCAACTGCTGAAACAAGAGACGGACAT